TACTCTTTGTGTTCTCTTTGGGAGACTTTTATCAGAACCATCCAGCCCGGAACAGAGAAGCATTTCAAGATCAAAAGGGAAGCAAAATAATACTCTTTCACCAAGCAAGGTAAAGATTCACACTTAATTAAGCCAGGACTATAGGATTATTTAAATAGATGTATCTTTTAAGAATGATCACATTGCTATAAGGTATTCAGACTACTGGAGGCAGTACAGAAAACGAAAGGGAACGGACAGTGTTTTGTCCAACACAGGAGAAAAGAGAGTATGGGAAGGAAGGAGGGGAAAATAATTGTTGGGTGGTTAGTGGGTGTACCGGGCCCACTCTGTGGCAAATATATGGGATAGGTAGGTCAGTGCCAGTTTTGCACAGAAGGAAAAAGAAGATGGAATTTTGTTTAACTTGGCAAACTCAAGCAGATGGAAGAAGACAGTTCCTTCTTTCTGCCTCTAAACTCATGCTGTTTCCTATGTGCTAATACTTCCCTCTCTTTCATCTTCTTTAGGGGTGAAGTAAATCTTTTCTCTCGCTCACGTATTACGTGTCCCTTCTTTCCCAAGTGCTGAACTAGCTTCACTGAGCACAGGGGAGGGCAAGACAGTCTGTGCAGACCGCGTCCCAACTCGTCATGCACTGAGCACCGCCCATACAAGTACGATCTTGAGCACATTTCCGCAGTCATTTCATTCAGTCTTTAGACCAAGGAATTGTTAGCCCACTTTATAGCTCAGTGAAAGGGGGTCCAGAGGTTCAGTAGCCTATATAAGCTTTGTGAACAGTACTGAAATATACTTCTAAATAGGCCTGAATTTAACACACAAGTATTGTCACACTGCCTTGATTCGCTATATTGATAAATCGAGTTCCATGGCCAGGAGGAATTTAAACAGCTAGTATGTGAGAAAACAATCTAAAACAATCTATGCAACTGATTGTCAGAAACAGTGCATTTATTCCCTATTTCACAGCTTCCTTCTCTCATAATGAAGCAGTCAGTCACCAAACTAAAACTTTAATTCACTAGTTAGGTTGTGTATCCATTACCAACTCTCTGTATCTATACGTTGAAATTAGCCTTCTACGTCCTCTATGATTGTAACTGTCCGTCAAGGCATGGACATGACTTTGAGTTAGTCAGTTGACAGCTGTATAGTTTTGCATTTTATGGCTGGGAGAGGTAATGTTTGCACATGAGAGACTTCCAAGTCAGGCAAGAGGTATCACTTAGAGTTCACCAAATTAGTGTAGACTGTACTTGTGACTTTGCCTTCAGTTCTTTGCTATTCCTGTTGCTTTATAAGTCCTCTGGATTCTGATAATGACAACATTCCTCTGACACCCACAGATTTAAGGCAGATGCCCCACAGACTCACAAATTCTAATAGTGATACATGTAAAACTAAATGTGTATAGAGTGTCACCAATGTACAGTTAAAGTGTCTTCTATCACAAAGATAGCGAACTATAAACACATCATTAAAGTCCTCCTGGTTATCTATTCAGAAATGTACCTACCATGTCAGATTTTAAATAGTTTCTTTCAACATTATTTTATTGGAAAGGAGAAATACAAAATAGAGCCAGAAGGTTAATGTGAGTTTAAGAGGAGCATAAGGTTATCTTGGCAATTAAAGACTCTCCAGGAGATTAATTACCACATCCAGCCCTTGCAGCTCACAAGATGTACCCCTATTACACACATGTGTGTTCAAGAAGGAACTTCATTTTGGATTGTCAAGGGTATGTTTTTCCTCACTGTCTTACAGGGCTAAGCTAAAGTAATGTTTCTTCTGTAATCTACTGAGAAACGATGGAAGGGAAACTGCACAAACTCTCAGGGCAGCATTGTAGTGAACGCAGCCAACACGGCCAAGAAATCAGAGAGCGAGAGCACAAGAGTGGAGAGAGACTGACAGGTAGAACAGATAAAGCAGGAGAGAATGGGAGGAGATGGGGGGCAGGGAGGCAGGGAGGAGAGGGACGCTGGAGGTGAGATTCAGGCAGGTTTTGAAAGCCTCAGCAGGATGCTTACTAAACGTGGCAGCAGTGTGTGGAGGCGTCCTGGGAGTCAGTGAAGCAGTAGGGTGTACCTCAGAGCAAGTTAGTGTAATTTGGATACTGCAGTCTTTACCGTCTCCATTCTGAAAACTTTGGAAAAGTGGTGTACAGCTTGTTAGCTGGAATCATGACAGGATATACGTTAGATGACTGTTTCCTTCTTGCCCTACTGCCCTCACCCTCATCCAAACCTTGTTGTCTCTCACCTGGATCTCTATAAAAGGTGCCCACAGCTCCCTGACTGTCCCTGGTGCCCGGCCCCAGTCAACCGCCATTATAATGGCAGTCACATTCTGTCACCCCTATTTAATGACTTTCCATTCAACTCAAGGAAGATATAGAATCCTTATCACAGTTGTCGGCTTGCTTTCCTGACTTGATTTCCTACCAGCCCCTACCCTCTGCTCCTGCTCCTCCTTTACACTGTCATTGTACCGGCCTTGGTTGTGTTTCTTTAACAGGATCATGGTGTCATACACCCAGGTGCTACCTCCTCAAACAGGCCTTCCTAATCAGTCTACTGAACATTGCATTCCATCCCCTCCACATTTTCATGCAGAATATGACTTCACTTTCCTGTTGCTGAGATACAATACTTAATACCCACAATTTAAAGCAGAGGTTTAATTCTGGGCACTCAGGTGCAGGGCTTCAGTCAATGGTCAGCTGGCTTCAAGGCAGAAATATGATGGTGGAAGTGTGCACACAGCAAAAGTACCTAGTTCACGGTGGCCAAGAGGCAGAGCAGGGAAGCAATGCCAAAAGGGAAGGGACAACGCCCACGTATGATACCATGGGTTCAGTCTCCTGGTCTCCAGGGCCCACCCAGGAGGGTGCTTTTCTCCCCTCCCTTCCCAAGCCAATCAAACTGACACAATTAGCTTAACCTCCACAGGCAGTGTCATGGTACCTTCTGAGTCATCTCAGAGAGCTTCTCCCTGAAGTTACAGCATTTAGTCACTCATCATGTGCCTCCACATTCCTTCTCTTCACTCTGTGTCTCCAACATGCAGTGAGCCCATGGTGCTGCCCAGGCTTCTTCTGCACTGCAGTTGCTTGGAGCTACTAACCTTCATGTAGTGTAGAGGTGAAGTTAAAACTTTAGGACGTGCTGGTACAATACCACTGTATGATAATAACTAACATAGCAACAATTATAACTATACTTTGCTGCATACCTACTTAGTACCAGACACTGGCCTGGAGGTTTTGCATATATTTTAATCACTTAACAACACTATGCTCAGCCTCCCCATGCAGATGATAGCAGGTACTGTGAAATTATGTCATAGACCTCAGACTCTGGTAATTCCAAGCAAAGAACTAATAACACTCTGCATTTATGTATGTCTGGAAAGGATGCGAAACCATTAAGGATTCTTGTGGACAATGATCTCAAGTGCCTGGAAAGCGCTCTTGCTCTTTTCCCTGCTGCAGCTTCATCTTCCTGTGAACTCTGTGCCACACACCCTGACTGCAGCCGCTTGTGAGGAGCGGGCAGTGAGTGAGCTCGCGCAACTCCCCAGCTAATGAGACACCCTCCCTTCTCCCTGCTGGGAGGTAATGGGTCCAACCACCTGTGAACACAGCCTCTCCAGGGGTTCTGGGCTCTTCTAGAAAGGAAAGAAGCACATAAATACAGCATAAGGTTTTCTTATTCTGGCAAATGTACTGTAATTCTGGATCCTGTAGGCACTGTCGCCCATTGATATGATTTTTGAAAGAGGAATTATTGCATTTATTTTTGGCAGTCTGGAGTCTTTTATCTTTATGAGACGACAGCCGTGTTTTAAAGGGATTATTATAGTTCTAACTGCAAGATAGTAATCCTTTATCATGTTTAATACTTTACAAATTCCAAAGACATCCTGATACAGGGTTCCATCCGGCTGGTGTGTGGATTAGGAATTATTTGCCACACTTTACAGCAGGGGAAACTGAGGTGTGGGGAACTGACCTGCATCACTGAAAGCTTGAAGCCAATCACAGCAGCACAGCTGAGGACCCGCATAAGCTGACTTCTAGCTCAGGATTCTTTAAATAAATCATTATTGCTGAAATAATTTAGAGGAGGACAGCAGAAGAGATCTATCACAGGACTGTGTGTGTGTGTATGGTGGATAGACACCAACAGGTGGGTTTTAGAAACAAAAGATCATCTTAGTAGCATGGGGACATTATAGACCTTAACAAAGTCCTCGGTACTGAGCACTGCCATGCGTTCCACATTGCTCTGCACACTTAAATCACAGCGCGGCACGCACTGCCGGGACTCCACGCTTCCCCACAGCAGCGCTCGATGAACATAGGAAGAACACTCTGCAAGCGCTTTCATGTCTGTTTTCTTGTCCCATGCCTTATAGATTTTTTTTTCTTTTTCTCTCTCTAGAAATAATGCTCTTAGAGTTTATTGCAGCTGTTCCTGTCTTCATGAATTATAGGACTACATTTTATGGTTTCAGAAACAGTCATCTCAGGTTGTGAATCAACTAGCAGCCTTCCCTTCCACAGCCCTGGCTCCCTGGAAAAGAAAAAAGGACGAGAGCCACATCCTTCACAAACGATGCGCTTCAGCTTAACGGCAGCAACACTATCATTCTTTCTCTTTTATACACTTGGAGCCGAATGGCTCACGGGCTGTGCTGAGGAATCTGACTTTCCAATTACCATCAGAGGGGCCTGGACTTCAGGTAGCTATGCCAACACATCTGCCTATCTTTAGGGATGGTAAAGGCTGCTTTACAGCCCTTGCTCAGCTCACAGGAGGGTGGTGAGAGGAACGCACCCAAAATTTCTGAATTCTGAACCAATCAGCCCAACAGTGGTCTCTTCATTTGAAACCCACTGTTCACATATTAAAGTTCTCATTCGTGATGAAGGTTAAAGAAGTTCAGTGAAAGTCAGTTTTAGTAAGTGCCAGCTCTCTCTCTGTGCTTACCTCCAGAAAATGTTCTGCCTGCTGTTCTCGGTCCAGTTTCCTTGAGGTGGTGGTAATCAGACCTGTGTAGAAATGAGAATATTTGACTTTTAAATATCTGGGGCAAGTATCTCACTGAGTGTGGGAAATAAGTTCAGTTAGAGGAAAAGTAAAAGTGACAGGGAACAGTAACTAAACTGCCTGTGACAATCACAATAGTCTCAAAAGTTATTCTTCAAGTAAAATTTATTAGTAAAACTTGAAAAAATTGTTGTAGCTGTGCTTACCACAGTTAAGGAGGTATTGTCATCTTTGGGGATGTATGAACTCACTAAAGAACTATTGTTTTTCTGATAATGAGGCTTTTTTCAAAGATTCATTTACATATGACTGAAATTCTACTGTAGGAGCCTCATGAAAGGATTTTAAAGTTCTTGAACAATTAATAGGTTGTTGACATTGATGAGATTCAGGCTATGAAAAAGCATTTGTAAAATTTAATTTTATATGCTTATATAATTTTTGTTACACTTACAAAGAAGGTTATTTTTGCAATAACTACTTGCACATGTAATCACTTCAAATTTAGTAACTTACACACCAAAGATTTTATACTATAATTTTATAATTTTGTGTTTAAGTCTTTACACTAAATAAGTTCCACGTGGAAAATGTCTCTATCTTCTCTTCCCCCATGGTGTTTCTCATAAATGAATTACCCCTCTAAGTATAAAGACAAAGAAAAGGGAATGAGAATTCAAAACCTTCAAGGCCTCCCAGCTTATTGGCCCAATTTATCTTTGGCAGGTTTTATTATTTTTATGTCAAATGGAAATTGGGTGGTCAAATTTATTTTCCATTTCTGAATTCAATAATATCCATGCAGAAAATGTGAGCTGAGCTGCTTTCATGATTTTTTTTTTTTTTTTTTTTTTGAGACAAGGTCTCTCTATGTGGCTCAAGCTGGCCTTGAACTCATGGTGATCCTTTTACCTCAGCCTGCCCAATGCTGGGATCACAAGTGTGCGCCACCATGCCTGGCTTTCATGGCATCTTCTGATTGGCAAGGAAAGAACAGAGAAAAAGTCAAGAAAAGCTTAGTTCCAGCACTGGTGAGTGAGGCTCAGGGGACGGGAAAGGCTGTTTCACTGGGAGCCCTTGAACTAAAGCTTCTGTCTTGCGCAGTGCCAGGTGGGAGTACTTGAATTCAGAGAAAGCTGAGAAGAAGCCATAGGGGAGGAGATGACTCTCCATAGTCCTCAAAGTACTCTTCCACTCACGGTAGACTGACTTTTAACAAGCTGCAGGCCCCTCCACCACAAGTCCCTGGCAATCCCTGTGGAGAGCAAACCTGTGTCACAACTGCCCAAGTGTCCTGCCTTTCTGTGAATTCATTCGGGATGTGGCCCATACACTGCTTCACTCAGAGGTCTTTCTTTACCTTGTCAACTGACAACACACACAAATGGATGCTATAACTTGTGCACACGACATGGAATGATTTGATCAAATGAATTAATGTGTACTTTGACAAAAATACTTATTTTTTGTGCTAAGGATCTTTGAATTTTACTGTCATTGACTTTGAATTGTACAATACACTATTGTCAACTGGGCAACACCACAGATTCTTCAAAATCAGCTGAGGTGTTAGCCTTCGCTGACCCGCTTTACCAGGTTTGGGTGCCCATCACTCATGCTCCCACATAACTAGTGCCTGCCTTTCCCTGTACACAGCTCTTTGCTTGCTTGTCTATAATTTTCCACTTGATTGACTGACAGGTACTTCATGGAAGGTCTTGCCTTTTGATATCACGTAGATCCCTGCTTAGAACAAAGCACTGCAATGCAACAATTTTCAGTTGCCAATGATGACATGGAAGAGATTGATTAGGATCTAATTTTCACTTTTTGCAGACTTAGAATGGATTTGTTCACAATGATGTTGTTTTATGTGTGGTGTATCTGTGGTCGGAGAAGATGTATGTTACAACTATGCATTTAGGATCACTTAGAGTTCCTCTGTGTGAATATAGGGGTGTTGGGCATTCTTGGATATGGAGGTGAGGTACTGCTGGAGGTTACAGAGAGAAGACTGCTGGTACGAGTTTTCAGTGAGGTCAGTGACTTCCCATCCCTAGCTTCCCACCCCAGGGGGCAAGTTTGGAAGCACACATTTGTTGCTCTAAGCCATCCCTTGTTTCCTGAATCAGCAGCATCTCTTGGGATGAGGCTTGAACTCGTCCTCTGATGCTAAGAGAATAGTGCTGTCCAATTCTACTATTCTTGCCTGAATCTCACTCTAACTTTTTATTCACATTAATTTTTCTGTCTGCCCAGCCTTATCCAATAATGAAACATACCAAGCTGCTCTAGCACCTGGATAAGACCACTGGGCTTGAGGTGTGTGTCTGAGAGGCAGAAGGGGACTGGAGACAATGTGTGAGTGCACGGGAGGGTAGGGTGATAAAGCAAGAATAAAGGGAGCGCAGCTTTCAGATTCTTTTGAGTAAGGGTCTGTGTGGTTGCAGCCCTGGGTGTCTCACATGTGACCTTCATTTTTAGACTGCGCTCTCTGACAAGGTCATATGTCAGGCAGGAGTGAGGGATGAAGAGGAGCTGACTTCTCACCAGGCAGGGGGCTTTCTCAGAGCTTCACAGCCTCCTGGGGGCATCCCATCTTAGAGTTCACAATGGGTCTCAGAAAACTTGGTATGTGGAGGCTGTAAATGGGTGAAAAGGCCACAAGCCTGTACCCTGCTGCTCATCTGTTGCTCTTCCACACAAAAGAGCAGGAGCCGTTCTGCCTTCTGTGCCCCTGAGGAGTCCCTGTTACCAGTGCCTCTCCCTGCGTGGGGTCACGCAGGCACAACTGAACAGGGACGAGTCCAGCTTCCCCTCCTGAAGATTCTTGGGGCAGTGCTTTGGGAAATTCCTTCGTTTTCACAGTGCCTGTTGTAAATGAGAAGGCAGTGTGGTGTCCTTCATGTGCATCTCTTCTCCAGGGTGTGTTTATCACACATTTGTCAGCTAAAGAGCTGGCTTCCCAAAAAACCTCAAAGGACACACACAACAATAAACCGGCCTGGGTGAAACCAGGCAGTTCCTGTTCCGATAGCAGGGAGGCAGGAAGCCTCTGTGGGTGTCAGCTCTTGGGGCTCCTGTCTCTTTTATCTTCACAGATATAAGCAAAAGGCAAAAAAGAATGCCAAATTCAAAGTGGAAACTATCAGGAACACATGTGAAGTCCGAAGACAGGGACACAGAGATTCTGCTCATAGGTTCTGAAGTTCCTCCCTGGGATAAAGAAAACTTCTAAATAAGATGACAGTGATGGCGGCACAATTGATAACTATTCTGAAAATCACTGCATTCTTTACAAGTTAGAATGTTAAAAAGAATGTTATTTTATATATGTTGTATAACACTAAAGCTGTTAAAAAGCAATAGGAAATTAAAACTCTACCTTTTAACTTTAATAAGGCAGCTGAATGCCTGTTTGGAAAAGGTTAGTGAATGAATGAATGAATGAATGAATGGATGAGCTTGGGATTCAGGTATGAAGTGGAGGTAGAAAAAAGCGATCATTTTTGTCCATGGGAATCTGGGACCTAGAAACAATGACATTTTTTGGATTAAAGCAAAAACTACTAGTTCTTGCACTGAACAATACATCTTGTTATAAGCTAGTGTCGGCATAACTGAGAAGGAGTAAAAGCCTCTTCCTTCTAGAGGTACATACTCAGGATGAGATATGGAACTGCAGCAGCACTGCTGTCTTTTACAGTCAGAAGGAGTGCAGTGAGTCAACCTGCACAGTCCAGAAAAGTTAATTAAAATTACTAATACTGTTTGAAAAGATGAAGATCTTTTACTATTTTGTTGTAGTTTATTTGGTTGTAGAATGAAGGAAATAAGAAGAAAAACAGCGCAACTTCCCTGCTTAACCTCTCTGACTCACTTTTGTAGACAGCAACCTGAGCTTGTGATCTATGTAAGAGGCGTGGACATCACCCATAGAATTGTAGACCCATCGGGCACATTAAATTGGGGACTGACATGACGGAATTGAATTACAAAGAAAAGTCATAGGCAAGCTTTGAATGTGGCTTGGAGATATAAACAAACACATAATTTGATCTAATTACTTATACAAACCTCCAATTTAGGGGAGAATTACACCAGTTCTAAGTGAATGATACTCAATGAGGGGGGATAGGAAGGGAAACATATGGCTCGAACGGTGCAATTACTTTAAAAATGGCTGCTTTTGATTTTTGTTGTCGTTGTTGTGGAGACAGAAAAATCTAACAACATCTGTCTGAGAAAGACAGCAAAAAAAAGAAAAAGAAGTGGCTGCCTGTTCAAAAAAGAACTCAAAATGTTCTAAGTTGCTGTGGTCAGAGAAGTGATACTTGTAGGGAAGACATCTTTTCCCTGATTTCTCTCCCTGTGGGTGTCCTGGGTCACAGCTGTGTAATCTATTGCCATGACATTCACATTTTCTTCAAGTGCTACTTGAAGCAGTGCAGGTCTTAGCTGTTTCAGCATAATTCTCCATGACTGCTGGAAGCTGGGTTTGATATTAAACACACACACACACGCACACACACATGCACATGCACACACACCCTTCTTTTCTCATTTTCTTCTTATCCTTTCCTTCCTTCCCCCTCCCCACTCCCTAGTTACCCTTCCATATGAATATTTTCTTCCTATTTCACAATATCTATTATACATTTTGGTCCTTATTTACACTTTCAGTTTTTCACACCAGAGAAACAGTGCAGTATTTATGCATGTGTGTCTGATTTATTTCACTTAAGAACAGGGTCTCGAGGTACATCCATTTAACCTGAAACGTCTGAAACATTGTTCTCAATGGCATAGTAGTACCCTAATGTATAAAAACACCACATCTTCTTTATATATTCATCAGTTGATGGGCACTTGGGCTGTTTCCAAGCTTGAGTTATTACAAATTGTGCTGCTATAAATACGGGTGTGCATGTATTGCTGTGGTATGATGCCTTTAATTCTTTTGGGAAGATACCAAGAAGGGGAATAGCTGGGTCAAATAGTC